TAGGACACCCTTACTCATAGAAGAGAACGGTCCAATTTCAATCCATTAGGATGATAAAACTGGAGGTTTTGTTTTACATGTGTGAGTATTTGGCCTGCATATATCCAGATGCACCATGTGCATGCCTGGTATCTGTAGAGGTCAAAGGAAGGCATCAGATCCCTTGGCACTGGAGTTAGATGTTGGTGAGCTGTCAAGCGGGTGCTGGGAACTGAACTTGGATCCTCTGTAAGAACAAGTGCTCAACCACTGAGCCATCTCTCCAGGCCCAGGTTTTCTTTTAATGAACCACAAAAGGAAAAACCAAAGTGTTTGACTTACAGTCAATTGTGATGATGGTCTAGGAAACGTGAGTATGCACTGGTCTGAAAACCACAAACTAGAGGGATCAGGATGAAAACCATTGCTAACATTAGATACAGGAGGAATTTTGAAGTCTGCGCTCATAGAAACACAGTAAACAATCACATGACTCTACAAGCTACGATGAACAAAAATGATTTGTTAGTAGGTCAACAGGAAGTATATAGGAGGCAGTCCACCTCTCTAAACTCTGTGTGTGTGTGTGTGTGTGTGTGTGTGTGTGTGTGTGTGTAGGATACATGTACATGTGAAGGACAGAGGTTGATGCCTGGTGTCTTCCTCCATCCTTCTTTTCTGAGACAGTGTTCCTTATTGAACCTTAGCTCACTAATTCAGCTAGGCTGGCAGGCCATCAAGCCTTAAGGATTCACCTGTCTGTCCAATGCTAGGATTACAAACTGAGTTGGGCCTTTTTCTTTTTCTTCCCCCTTTTTTTTTTTTTTTGAGACAGGGCCTCTCTATGTAGCCTTGGCTGTCCTAGAACTTGCTTTGTAGGCCAGGCTGTCCTCAAACTCAGAGATCTGCCTCCCTGTCTGTCTCAAAGTGCTGGGACTAAAGACACACAAGAGCAAGCCCAGCATGGACTGGGCTTTCTACGTAGGTGCGGGGTTAGAACTCGGGTTCCTGTGTTTGCATGGCAAGCAGTCCACTAACTAAGCCACCTGCCCGGCCTGCGATGTAGCCCAGCCTGCGATGCAGCAGTTCCTTGGTCTAACCACTAGTAAGAACATCACAAATGGGATGTGGGAGCTCACACCTGTAATCCCAGCATTCAGGAGGTCACCAGATGCCAGGCCAGCATGAGGTAGAGGGTGAGACCCTGTCTCAACAAGCAACAGCAATAACAATAATTAGCTGGGCATGGTAACCTGTGCCTACAATTCCAGCGTCAGGAACCTAAGGCAAAGGCTGGCCAGTTCTAGACTGGTCTAGAGTATATTGTTAAGACCCTGTCTCAAGCCGAGCAGTGGTGGCGCACGCCTTTAATCCCAGCACTCGGGAGCGAGAGGCAGGCAGATCTCTGTGAGTTCGAGGCCAGCCCCAGTTCAGAGTGAGTTCCAGGAAAGGCGCCAAAGCTACACAGAGAAACCCTGTCTCAAAAAACCAAAGGAAATCAAACAAACAAACAAAAAAAGACCCTGTCTCAAAACAACAATGAACTAAGTAGCAGGGATACAAAGACCACCATAAGGAGAATGTGCAGTTAATAACATTCAGTGGCCTTAAGATATAAGAGAACCCAATGCTTTCAAAGAACTTAAAGGAGGGCTGGAGAGACGGCTCAGCAGTTAGGAGCACTGGGCCTTCCAGAGGACCCGGCTCATTCCCAGATCCCACATTATGGCTCCTAACTGTCTGTAACTCCAATTCCAGGGGACCTAACAACTTCTAGGCTCTCCAGGTATCAGGCATGCACATGGTACACAGACACACATGCAGGCAAACACCCATACACATAAAATAGTTCTGTTTCCGAGACAGGGTTTCTCTGTGTAGCTTTGGAGCCCTTCCTGGAACTCACTCTGTAGCTCAGGCTGGTCTTGAACTCACAGAGATCCTCCTGCCTCTGCTTCCTATGTGCTGGGACTAAAGGCATGTGCTACCACCCACCACCGCCCAATAAAATAGTTTTTTTTTGTTTTTTTTTTTTGGTTTTTCAAGACAGAAACGGTTTCTCTGTGTAGCTTTGCACCTTTCCTGGAACTCACTTGGTAGCTCAGGCTGGCCTCGAACTCACAGAGATCCGCGTGGCTCTGCCTCCCGAGTGCTGGGATTAAAGGCGTGCGCCACCACCGCCCAGCTCCAATAAAATAGTTTTTAAAAGAATTTAAAGGAATGCCTTTAATCCCAGCACTTGGGAGGCAGAGGCAGGCAGGCAGATCTCTATGAGTTCGAGGCCAGCCTGGTTCCAGGACAGCCTCAAAGCTACAGAGAAACCCTATCTTGAAGAAGAAAAACAAGACAAACAAACAAAAAACTTAAAGGAGGCTAGAGTGTAAGAATACATGGAAAGAGTGGCCAAAAACAACAGGGGTGGGCTGGGAAAAAGACAACAGCCCGATGAGGCAGGCTGTCATCCTAACCACTCAGGAGTCTGAAACGGGAGGGCCACAAATTCAAGGTCAACCAGAGCTACAGAGTCAAGACTAAACTTGGCAACAAAGTGAGTCCCTATACATCAAAATTAAAATGAAGAGACTGGGGATATAGTTCAGTGATAGGACACCTGTTTTGTATAGCCAAAGCCCTGAGTTCAACCCCCAGTACTGAAGGGGAGAAAAAAGAAAAAGATAATACAGGCTGATGAAAATCTCAGCCACCTTTGAAATATCACTGGTGATAACCTGGCCTGAAATTCTTGTAGAATATACTCTACGGATATTTTTAATACATATTTTTGTTGGCTTTTTTGAAACGGTGTCTCTACATAGCCCTGGCTGTCCTGGAACTCACTATGCAGACCTGGCTGGCCTTGAACTAAGAGATCTATCTACCTCTGCCTCCCAAGTGCTGGGATTAAAGGCATGTACCACCATGCCCAGCTATATGTTTTTTTAATTTTATGTGTTTGGGCGTTTTGCCTGTATGTATGTATGTATGCACATCACATGGGTACAGTGCCTTCAGAGGCCAAAAGGTCATCAGATCCCCTGGACCTGGAGTTACAACTGGGAGCCACAATGCGGGTGCTGGGAACCAAACCTAGGTGCTCTGTAAGAGTACGTGCTCTTAACCACTGAGCCACCTCTCCAGCCTTGCTCTACAAATTTTAATTGGCCATAACCATTTTGACTAATCAGTAAGTAAGTAACCTGAAGTAATTTGTTTCAAGTACCAGACATCCTAAACAAATACTAACTCCTTTACTCCTTCCAACCATTACAATTAAGTGAACTCGGGGTTTGGGATTTAGCTCAGTGGTAGAGCCCTGGGTTCAGTCCTCAGCTCAGGGGGCAAGGAGCAATTAAGTGAACTCATTTGCCTACCTATGTCACAAAACTGGTATACAGAAGGACTAGAACCCAGGCAGTCGGGTGTATCTACATTCTCAAATACGGAAGGTTTTGCAAATTACCATTATTATGGGATTGCTAGCTTGATAATGTCAAAATTAACACTAACAGGCAGCCGAGTGTAGTGGTACCCGCCTTTAATCCCAGCACTCATAAGGCAGAGGCAGGCAGATCTCTGTGAGTTCCAGGCCAGCCAGAGCCACACAGTGAGACCCTGTCTATAATAATAATAACAACTGGCTGCTCTTGCAGAAGACGCAGGTTCAATTCCCAGCACCCACATGGCAGCTCACAACTGCCTGTAACACCAGTTCCAGGGGATCTGGCATCCACGCACAGACATACATGCTGGCAAAACACCAATGCACATAAGTAAATCTTTAAAAAATGATGGTGATGATGATAGGCAGTCACTTTGGGAGGAATATATAAAAGCTTATAGTTAGGCTGGAAATATCGATCACTGAACAAAGTAAAAAAAAATCTGATTAATCGACCATTTAATGAAAAAGAAAGGGGTTTAAAAAAAAAAAAAAGGTTTTCAGCCCAGTATGGTGGCACACACCTTTAATCCCAGCACTTGGGAGGCAGAGGCACACGGGTCTCTGTGAGTTCAAGGCCAACCTGGTCTACAAAGTGAGTTCCAGGACAGGCTCCAAAGCTACAGAGAAATCCCGTCTCGAAAAACAAACAAAAAAAGTAAAACAAATCTTTAAAAGGTGTATGTGTGTGTGTGTGAAAACACTGCACAAAGTGTTAAGACAGGCACTGTTCATTTTATTACTCAGAGAAATGAATGATAGGTTAAAAAAATAAAAGACGAAGGCTTATTAAAAAATTGATCCAGACACTTCAAGATAAGCAGAAATACAGGAGAGCTGATAGTAGGAACCCTTTTAACAGAGCAGAATATCAAATCCTTAGCAATAAAGGATGAGGAAGTCATGGGTCTTTGGGACGTGGGAGACATCAATAGATAATGCTTCCCCTCGCTTTACATTTTACATCAAAGACTCCTTGATAAATCAACGAAAAGCAAGGGTGCGAGGGCTGAAGAGCACAATAAAATATTGCCAACCCGGGCTTTCAACACGCCGCAAAACTAGGTCATCCTTCAAAAGCAAATTCCACTGCTCAGTTTTTTCCACCCATTCTGTGTCCCTGGTCCCCACGGAATCTGACCGAGCAATTTACTACTTCCACACTCTTCCAAACTACCTTGACTGTCTCCAGACTGGCCCCTTCCAGCACCACAATGAGCCTACGGCCTCCGCTCTTGCTTCCTGCCCCGAGCCGGGGCCTCTTAGGCGGCGCGTTATCCCAGTCCTCTTCCTGCCCTGCAAAACGCCGTTCACGAGGTTGCAAGCCACCGCTGGGCGCAGCCATCTTGCCAGCAGACCGGAAGTTGCGCTGACGTCCTCAAACTCACAACTTCGCGTTCGTCCTCACGGCCAACTTCCTCCTTAGCTGCCATTTTGAAAGCGGGCGCTTGGAAATGGCGACACCTGTCGTCCCGAACTACCGAAGCCTCCCGAGGAGGGCAGGCCCCCGGAGGAGGCGGGACTTCCGGGTGCGCTTTTACCGTGCGCGGAGTTCGGGTCGGCCTGAGCAAAGGGGGCGGGTTCGGCAGGGAGCGCACTTCCGGTGCCCTTTCTGCCGCGAGTCCCACGGCCCCCGATCCTCGTGTGCAGGGCGAGGTCCGTAAACTGGGGTGGGGGTAGAAGCTGGCGGGCACCCCCTCCTGACCGCCGGTGCCGCCGCCTGCAGGAGGATCAGACATGGCCCAGAACTTAAAGGACCTAGCGGGACGCCTGCCCGCCGGGCCTCGGGGCATGGGCACGGCGCTGAAGCTGCTGCTGGGGGCCGGGGCCGTGGCCTATGGCGTCCGCGAATCCGTGTTCACCGGTGAGCAGCCTCCTCCCTGCCCTGGCCGGCCCCCAGCCCCACTGGCCTGCCTCCCCAGGGTGTCCGCGCCCGCCTGCCCCCTCATCCCCGTCCCACCTGCACCGACCCGTACTTTGATCAGCGGCTGGCTGATTGATTCCCGCCCCCCACACCTCTCTCCACAGTGGAAGGTGGTCATAGAGCCATCTTCTTTAACCGGATCGGCGGCGTGCAGCAGGACACCATCCTGGCCGAAGGACTCCACTTCAGGTAATGGCGGGTAGAGCGAACGGGCCCTGACCCTTCACCCTTGACGGCTGTAGCCAGACTTACAACAGGATTCGGCGCTGCTTTCTCCCTTCCTCACCCCCCGCTCCTAGGACACTAGGTGCTCCGAAACTCCAGCAGTGCATACAGGGCTGTTCTCCAAAGGGAAAAGAGAGTCTCCTTGTCTGTGGTCGTGGGGAGGAGCAGGCCCAAAGACGAGTGGTGAGGGGAAACTGGGCGAAATGAGGGAAACGGCAGCTCCCCAATTCCTGTCCCTGACCTCTCCTCTCCAGGATCCCCTGGTTCCAGTACCCCATCATCTATGACATTCGGGCCAGACCCCGAAAGATCTCCTCCCCCACAGGTTCCAAAGGTAAGTACGGGCGACTGGGAGCCGCGTGGCCTGTGGGGACACAAGTACACACAAAGTGAGCCTGGCGAGGCCACCAGAAATGGCAGCGTTTCCGAGACCTTGGTGTCTGCATCTTCCAAAGAGCATGCCTCGTGGCTTGAGACAGTGCGTTCCAGCACTGGGTGTGCTTGCACGTTTGAACGTTACTTTGTGCCCAGCAAAAACCGAGTCGGAGAGCTGCCTTTCTTTCTGATCTCCCTCGCTCGCTCCCCAGATCCAAGCCTTTTTAAGGCCCTTTACTGCTGGCTTGTTGGTTACATCTGCAGTGCACCTTGCTCTGGAGAAACTGTCCCCACGCCTCACTAGCCGTTTCCTTGTAGAGCATTCTTAGAAGCCCTGCCTTTGAGATTCCCCCGGCCCCCGCCTCATTCACATGTACACACAGAGGCAAGTAGCCCACAGTAATGTGCTTCTTTGTGCTGTTTTTTGGTGTGTGTTGTTTATTCATTCACTAAGCCGTAGGCCTTGGAAATAAAAAAAAAAAATCTACAATTCTGGTTCTCGAGTCCTTAGAGTCTAGGGGGAGACCCATAGTTGTGGTGGTGCCCAAACTAGAGGTTGCACCAAGTCCACTAGCAAAAAATTAGGAGTCAGCGGTACCAGCTGAAGGCCTGTAGAGAAGACTTCACAGTAAACGAGGATCTGTTTCCCGTTATCACCTCTGCCCTGTTGACATACTGTCTCCTCTCCCCAGAGGAGTGCTAGGCATGGTGGGAAACACTCCTGGGAGAAAGTGCTTGGAGAAGGGGAATTCGTTTGGCCTTAACCGGTCACTGCTGGCTTCTCCCTCAGACCTGCAGATGGTGAACATTTCCCTGCGGGTACTGTCTCGACCCAATGCCCAGGAGCTCCCCAGCATGTACCAGCGCTTAGGGCTAGACTATGAGGAGCGAGTCCTGCCGTCCATTGTCAACGAGGTGCTCAAGAGCGTGGTGGCCAAGTTCAACGCCTCGCAGCTGATCACCCAGCGGGCTCAGGTCTGATTCCTATCACTGTCTGCATCACAGCGTGTCTCCCCTTGGTCCAGGGTCCTACAAAAGGGCCTTTTGTAGAAAGAGAAGGATATGAGGGGGCGAGCGGAGCTGGTAGTGCAGTTGGCGAGGGCTTGCCTAGCACACACATGCCCTGCGTTTAATCCTAAGCATTATTTAAACCAGGTGTGGCACGTGCTTGTAATCCCAGCACTCCAGAGGTAGCGGCAAGAGAATCAGACGTTTAGGGTTAACCTTGGCTGCAGAGCCGGTTTGACGTGGGAAAGCTGTACTGATTGTCACTCTGGGAAATGAGGAGAAACAACTGCAGAACCCGATGCCAGTCAGTGTTAAGGAGGAGGCGTAGAAAACAATACGATACGGTCTTACCCACACCTCTAAAGCAGTTCTTTCCTGGCTTGGCAGGAAGCTAAGCAGATATATGTTGCATGGGAAAACGGGAAGGTTGGGGTCGGTGTGACGTGGGGTCGGTGACGTGGGGCGGTCATGCCACCCTTCTGGTGCTGCCTCGTCTGTCACATGGAGACACTGAGCCAGGTTTTTTCTAGGGAATGTCTGAGGACTTCAGATGGTCACAGCAATACTGCCTTCCCTCCAGTTCTCTGACCCCCTGAAGCCTCCCCTTCCCTCCCCTCTCCACCCTGGCCCACAGGTGTCCCTGTTGATCCGGAGAGAGCTGACGGAGCGTGCCAAGGACTTCAGCCTCATTCTGGACGATGTGGCTATCACCGAACTGAGCTTTAGCCGCGAGTACACAGCTGCTGTAGAAGCCAAACAAGTGGGTGAGTCCGCGGGGGAGTGATCAGTGGGCTTCCGGGCTGGGAGAAGGGGGGCTGCACGTGCTTGAATTCTTACCGCCCCACAGCCCAGCAAGAAGCCCAGCGGGCCCAGTTTTTGGTGGAAAAGGCCAAGCAGGAACAACGGCAGAAGATCGTGCAGGCCGAGGGGGAGGCCGAGGCTGCCAAGATGATATCCTTCTGTTGCAGAGAGCTTGGCCGGCCCCTGGGACGCCCCGTTTCCACCCTCCCTCGTGGGCCGACTGATGAGACTAAGGCGAATGCGACTCTGCCTACTGACCCTTGGCTTCTAGGGGTGGGGAGGGGTGACTGGTGAGATCTGAAATCTTGGTGGGGGTACCTGAGGCCTGACTCCCCGCTGTAAGGCCGGATCAAGAGCACCGCTGGCCTTGCCTTCACGTCTGCTGCCACCAGTTCTTGGCAGCATCCTACAGGGAGGCCCACAGGGGGTAGCCAAAGTGTGAGTAGCCATGTGAGCGCAACCTTGAATCTGACAGCCCCGAGGACTCTGAGGAGGCGGGGGAGATGGGTGCTGCGGCAGACATCATAGCCTGGCCTAGATGAACCCTTAACCCTGTCTGCTTACCTTGGAGAAGCACTGAGCAAAAATCCCGGCTATATCAAGCTCCGAAAGATCCGGGCCGCCCAGAACATCTCTAAGACGGTGAGAGGAAGGAAGGCCTCACTCTCTCTCCCAGGGCTGCCCATTGAGATGGAACGTATTCAGTTACACGCGCGCACACGCACACACACACACACACACACACAGTCACACAATAGGATTGCAACCTGACCTGAGTCTCTACTTGAACAACTTCCTTGGGCACCCTTCCTCCCCAGAGTGACTCCCCCCGCTTTGTGTCTCTGGCTGTTACAGAAGTATAACCAAGGCTTCTCACTGCTTGGATCTCTGTACTAGAGCAGGGGCCTCTTGTTCATTACTGTGTCTTCCACTGGGTGGGCCACTGAGTCACAGGGATGAGACTTGAGGCCTCCCTCTCCTAACACAGACATCCATTCCCTGTCCTGTAGATCGCCACCTCACAGAACCGCATCTATCTGACAGCCGACAACCTCGTGCTGAATCTCCAGGATGAAAGCTTTACTCGGTAAGAGGTGCCACTGTGCAGAGAACAGAGCATCTACATTTGCTACTCTGGCTCTGGAATCCATTACAATAGTCATGGGGCCCTTGACAGTTTCTCTGAGAACACCAGAGTCAGAAAAGTGGGTGTGTCTGTCTGGTTGGCAGTTCCTGTTAGATCCTCTAAGACTGACTTTATGAAAGAAAATGTGATTTCTTGTGTAAAAGGCACTTTATTTATAAATATTTGAGTGAAAAGTGATAAGTGACGGTGTTCCGTGTTCTTGCTTGAGAACCTGGATGCTGCTTCCCTGATAATGTAAGTGTCAGGACCACAGAAATAGTGACCAAAAGAGCAGTCGTCATGGGGGCTGGGAGATAGAAGGGTCTAGAGCAGCTGGAGCCTGAAGCTGACTAATCATATTTATCTCTCCTTTCTGTTTTCTGTTGACTCCATGCCGTGCTGGCTGCAGGGGAAGGTAAGTGATTGCGTCCTTGCTGCGGGGTCCTGGGGGACCACCTGCTCCCTGGACCTGTCTCTAGACCTCACCTCCCCACAGTCAGACCTTCATTTTTTACGTCCCCCATAATATGAACGTTTCCCCTTTGTTCTACAGTGACAGCCTCATTAAGGCCAAGAAATGAGTTGTGGACGTCAGGAACTCCGCCAGCAGAGGAGTGGATGCATTTCTAATCCAGTTGTGAGGAGCCGGCCAGGGAGGTCAAGCACAGCCCACCCTGACCCAAGCATCATGTGATGGATTTCTCTGTACTCGTCCTCTTGGATTAAGGAAGACTGAAGACCAACCCTTTCAGAGGACTTTTCTTCCTCCTTGTATTGGCCTGAGGGAGGGGGGAGACAGTGTGATTTCTCAGTGACTTCCTACAGTGTTGTCCCTTCCCCAGAGTGGGGGAGATAACCAACATCCCAGAAGTTCTCAATAAAATTTTTATTAAACCGAAGCCAGCCAAGGTTTTGCATCTGAGTGGGTTAGACAGGGTGCACTCTGGGTCTCTGCCAGCAGATGGCACACGCAGTCTGGCCTGTAGAGTTCCGGCTCCGCTCTGCTAGGTCCTCAGAGCCTACTGGCTCCAAAACAGACCGTGAGCGGGGAGCAGGAGACCCCAGCCAAAGGCCCGACGGCACCCTTCGTGTCTCTCAAATGAACCAGCTGGTTTAAGAACCTCTTTTTTAATGCTGCAGCAGCTGTGGCGTTGCTGAGCCAAACTAAAAATTTGATGACCCCAACGGGAGCTGCTTCCTTGGTTACCAGCTTCTGCGCAGCTATGGGGAGATCATGTGTGTTCCTCCTGAGGGCCTCAGTGTTCCAAAGCCCAGGGGACTGGTGCGCTGTTCCTCGGTTACCAGGTACCATGAGCTATTTGCACGTAGGGTTCTCCCCACGGAGGTGGATTTCCCACCCCCACAGCCCTGGAGCCCAACTGAACAAGGACCTAGTTTTCCACATATTACCTCATTCTGAAGACTACCTCTCGAGCACTGGAAAGTTAAGCCATTGCTCATACGTGTAGCTCACCTTTGCTATCTTTTTTCCTTCCGGGTAGATAAATATGTGAAACGATAAAAAAAATTCAGTAGGAGAAGGGGTGAACCTCAAGTGGACTAGAGGGTGCCGCAAAACTTCGGCTCCCTGGGCTCTCAAAGGAAGCGGATGGGTCTCTCCTGAGGTCTAGGAAGAGCCAGGCCAATGAGCCTGAATCATATTTCCCACCGACACCCTTGTTCCCAGGGCGGAAGGACAATGGAAGTGACTACGGACCCAGTGTGTCTCCAAACCCTGCTGCTGCTCTGGAGGCAGCCATTTTGTCTCTTTCCCATTGTTCTCCTTTGCCAAGTGACTCACACATCCACACCCCATCCAGAAGGTTAAAGGTCAGCTTGTTGGTCTGGTGCCCTCCATGGTCTTCAAGGCTCCGAGAAGGTCACTGCTGAGGGAACCGACCCGGGGGCCATCTTTACCAGACAGTGTTAGGAACCTCATAACTTCAATCACCCAACACTGCGCTGGAAGATGGACCCAGAGCCGGCCTGCAGAAAACCAGACCACAGCTGATCGACGGCTGGAGCGAAGCCGAAGCCGCTGCGGGCCGGCTGGCTTGGGGCCTCTTGAGGGCGCAGACAATGCCAAGGCCAAAGTCGGCTTCAGGTAGGTCCTGGATCTACCAGATGACAAATCACACTGGGCTGGAGGAGGGGCTGGGGCCATTGTGTTCCTCCAGTGGGCGAACGGCCAAGGGAGAACCGTTTCTGCAGCCCCCTAACTCAGGAGAAGGGGCTCTCGGGGTATGTGAGGGAGCAAGGACTTTGCTACCGGATCGGGGCCGGGGGGCCTGAAGCAATGGACGCCGCTGACACGGGACAGGGGCCTCCATCATTACCCGGCAGTATTAGAGACTCCCAACCAGCACCCAAACACTGCTGGGTAAGACGAGGGCCCCTACCCAACCGGTCCATCTCCAAGATCCGTCCTGGCTAAGCCCGGGCACCCTGGGGAGAAGCCACAGAGCTCTGGCTCCCATCCCCCACCTCCGCGTCACTTGGGACACTTCCGGGTGAGCCTTGCTGCTCAAACCAGGCGTACCCTGAGTTGCCCATCACCCAAGCCAAAACCAGCTTCAGCAGCCCCCCTCAGCCCCCCGCTGTCCGCCTGGGGGCCAGTCCCCTGCCTCTCCACCGCCCGCCCCTGCCCCCCGCACACACCAATTCACTGCGCTCTGCAGTTGCTAGCGCGGCCCCAGGACCCCGGGATCGGTGGCCTTTACCTGGCGCCAGACCCGCCTGATCCCCAGAGTGGTGCAGAAGGAAGGAAGGGGCATCAAGGCCCCGGATTCAAGCGCCTGGAGCCCGCCTGGCCTCCACTCTTCCTCTTCCTTCTTCACCTGCCTGGCAGCACTGGCGCCTCACCTGGGCCCCGCCCGCCTGCTGCCCTGCGCACAGGTGTGTCCTCCTGCCATAGGCTGCCCCCCTTCCGCCTTAACTCCTTCCCTCCCAGCACCGGCCCTGGGCACCTCCTCTTGAGGCCTGGCCACCCTGCCAGGCCTCCCGCCCTTTCTGGCGGCCTTTCTTCTCCTGCCTCGTCTTTCCCTGATTCTAGAGGAGTAAAGGGAGAGGCCATCTTTGGATCCCCTTCCAGCGGCTCCTTCCCCAAGCTAAAAGCCCTCTCTCTCCTCCGAGGCCGCCAACCCTGCCCTCGGGCCGAGTCAGAAGATCCTCCCTGAGGTCAGTGTGGGGTCAGGCCGGCAGGCATTGGTCTGTGGCCCCGTCCAGTGCTAAGCCCGAGTTGGACAACCCCTTGAGAGCTGGGAAGGACGGAAGCCCCACCATACCTGTGGGTCTCCCTAGCCTCTGCAGCGCGCCTCCGGATCAGGTTTTACCCTGATGTTGGAGTGTCTGTCGGGCCAAAAGGCCCAGCCCCCACCTGGTGAGGAAAGCGGGGACCTGCTCTAGCCCTACATTTGCTATGCCCTTGAGGGCTGATGCCCGCAACCTACCCTTCAGCAGAGCCCACTTCTCGGTTGGCCCCCGAAGAGTTAGTCCAGGGCAGTGAGAAGAATAGGACCGACCTGCCTTTCTTCTGTGTGGTTCTGTTGCTGGGAGAGGGGCCCTGCGGCACACAGGTGATGGCCCCACCCATGCACCCCCTGGAGGGCCATAGCTCCAGGGAGCGATCATGTTGCTCAATCCCTCCTCTTTGTTCTCCATACTTTTCCGTTGTAATTATTTGTGTGGGCTAATTCTGCCTTGGTCTCCCAGACATCTCCTAAGTCCCAGTAAGATAAGCTAACTTGTCACCCTCAACGGCTCCCAGCGCTACCTAGGGCCTTGACACAGGCGCGAAGAGCTATCCTTGGTGGGAGCCGGCACTTCCCAAGGTATGGCCGGCGCACTCAACTGACCAGGAGATTCAAGTTATGTATGAAGATCCCAACTCCAGACAAAAGGAAAGGAAGGGGACAAAATAATCAAATGATCTCCAGTGTCCGGGAGGGTGAGGCCTCAGCTGTGGGATGCCCCCAAGTGCTTTGGGAACTGCAGATCAGGGGCAGCCAGGCTAGCTCAGTCCCTAGAAATCTTCCTAGTTGTTGGAGCTAGCAATCAAGAGCTGCTTGTGTGGCGGATCTTTCTAGGGTGGGGCCTGCTGAGTCTGCAGGTAATGAGGACATGGACTCCCAAGGCCAGTAGTCCTGCAGCCTTGAGCGAGTTAAGTTGATCTCCCTGTGCCTCAGTTTTCCCCACTGTAAAATAAGGATAATTAAGGTACCCAGACTGAGAGCTAGTGAGAGGAGGCTCTGAGCTTTGTCCCCAGTACCAATCAATCATCAATCAATCAATCAATAAAAACAAAAACTAAAGTACCTAAAATCAATGAGTCCTATAGTCTCTTAAACGGTGCCTGGGCCTGTTGCCAGCGTGCAGTGTGGTAGTAGCCATTGTTGTTGGCACTCACTACCTCAACGTCTTCACTAGGAAGCCAAGGAGGGCAGATCAGATCGCCCTCTGCTGTAAGAAGGCTGGAGCTCTTGCCAAGCACACAGGAGACCTAGGTTCCATCCCCAGCCAGAATGAGAGAGGGAGAACGCAGAGCAATCTAAGCCCTAGAAATGCCACAGGCATCTAGCTGTGTGAAGCAGCATCCAGAACCGGGTCAGGTGAAGCAGCAGAAGCAGGTCTATCGGACCCAAAGGTTGAGCTTTTATGCAGTCCCACACGACATCCCAGTCCCATCCTGCCCAGAGTCCCTGGATACATGGGGCACACAGAATTGGAGGCAGCACACAGTGGTCCGGGGGCTTTATTTACAAGAATAGGAATCTGGCTTTGCCTGGGGACTTGCTGGGCTATGTACAGATTCAGAGGACCACAGCCATTTAAATTACAAGAGGATGGCCGTGGTCCCGGGGGCTGGTGTGAGCCAGGGGTCTTGATCTGTCCAGTGGAGGCCTCTGCAGGGATTGAGGCTGATGCTGCAAATAAAAAAGAGGAAGTGGGTGAGAGGGTATCTGGGGCCCGGGGAGGGGACACAAGAAGATCTAGGGACACCCTGGCAGGGTAGAGTGAGACTGTGACCATCCCATGCCATGTCAGGACTGGAGTGGAGGAAACTGGGGCGGGGGGAGAAGAGACCATGCCGGAGGCCTCACCATGGCCACCTGCAGATGAAAGCCCAGCTCACTTCCTCTTGACGGAACCTTTGCTCTTCTCCTTGTCTGCTGACCGCTGCTTCTTCACTTTCTCTTCCTTCTTGTTCTTGCTGTGCACGTTTTCATACACCTCCTCCTTGTGTCTGGGCATGGGGTGGTGAGAAGACATCTGGAGACTGCAGACCCATTTCTAGCAACCCCTCCAGACTCACTCTCACTAAGTGAATCCAGGAAGCAAGATAACCTGCTCACTGTCCAGTCACTGGACCTGAAGCTCCCAGGGACAGAGACCACTCACACATGAGTCCACAGCTGGTCCATGGCACGGGCCCACACATAGTGGACAGTTAAGGCTGGGCAGGAGAAGGGGGAAGATGCTGGGAGGGCAAGCAGGACCACTCACTTGGAGGAGGTACGGGAGGCCTTGGCGTGGGCACTCCTCATAGCAGGAGGGTAGGTGATATTCCCATACTCCGACTCCTGGCCCTTCCGGGACTGTGGGCAAAGGTGTGGTGGGAGGATGGTGGTACCAGCAGGACTGGGTGATGCCCACTCTCCCCTACCACCCATCAGCCCCACTCTGGACACACTTGTATAATCTCCAGTTTCTTCTTGGTTGTTTCAATGTACTGGGCAATGGCCACGTAAATGAACTTGTACTGTGCCTCCGTCTGCACCATGCCAGAGCGCTGTGCCCGTACCATCTGGATGGTCTTCTGGATGTCAATGTCACAGTCCAGCCCTGGACAAGAGTAGCAGTGGGACTTCAGGGGTAGGCAAAGACCAAGGCCAAGGGACCGCTTGTCCCCCTTCTGCCCCACCCCTCCCGTCCCCAGGAGTCCCCCCTCACCCTTGGTGGAGATGCTCTCCATGAGCATGTCAATGACGATGATGGTGCCGGTTCGGCCAATGCCCGCACTGCAGAGAGAAGGCACTACCGTCAGAGGCCCAGCCCAGGAAATGGGGAGTCCAGGGGTTAGCCCCGGCACTAGGCAAGGCGTGACGAACCTAAGGCTCCAGCCACAAGGGTTAGTAATGTGTACGGGTCATTAGGCCGGCCCCCCTCTGCACCCATCTTCTGCCCCAGGCACAGGCTGGGCACAAGCAGGTACCCAGGTACAGACACCATTTCTCTCCTTCCCAGCACTTGTTCCCCACTTCCTGCTCTCATTCCTCACTCCTCCCAAGTGATGGCTACCCTCATCCCTTGGAGAAACAACTCCACACCCTGCCATTGTCGGCCTGCTCCTCAGACACCTGAGTTTTCCCCCATTCCAGCCTTCAAGAGTTACATTTGAGCTGGCCAGTGGTGGCGCACGCCTTTAATCCCAGCACTTGGGAAGCAGAGGCAGGTGGATCTCTGTGAGTTTAAGGTCAGCCTGGTCTACAGAGTGAGATCCATGACAGCCAGGGCTATAGAACACAGTGAAACCCTGTCTAGGGGGGGAAAAAGTTATATTTGGAGCCAGGCACATGGCGGCACATGATTTTAATCCCTGCACTCAGGAGACCAGCCTGGTCTACATAGAAAGACACACACACACACACACACACACACACACACACACACACACGTTACATTTGGAATGGATGTGACGGCTCAGTAACTATCACGCAAGCAAGTATGAGAACCTGATACCAGATCTCCAGTGCACACCAAAAGACCAGGTACAGCGGCCATATAACCATTCCCAGGAGGTTAGGTCAGCTCACTGGCCAGTCAACCTAACTGAAGGGATGAGCTCCAGGTCAGTGCGAGACCCTGTCTCAAAAAGGAAGGTGGAGAGCCTGGTGTGTTAATCCCAGTACTCAGGAGACAGACAGAAATGGACCTCTGTGAATTCCAGGCCAGCCTGGTCTACCTGGCAAGTTCCAGGCCACCAAGCCACATAAAGTGAAACACACACACACACACACACACACACACACACACACACACACACACTCATACAGTTACATTACACTGAGGGTATGCCTCAGTGGTAAAACATGTGTTTAGCATGCTTAAGGCCCTGGGGCTCCATCCCCAGCACCACATACACACACACACACACACACACACACACACACACAATTTGGTCTTTCTCTCTGTGGAACTTCATTTCTCTTTTTTTCAACATGGCAAAAGGTAAGAGCTGCCCCGGGACACACGCAGTGAGAAAGTGCAGGAGCAAGAGCATGCCTCCCTTTTCCTATGCCCTCCACCCCGCAGCCCCCCATCTACCCCCTGAGCAAACAGATGATTCAGACCCCAGACCTGCCTACAGCCCAGTCCATGCGGCTGGCACCATAAGTTGAGCTGTCTAATTTCAAACCCAGATTGTCAAAAATAACCCCCCCATACCACTTCCTTCCTGTAATTTCTAAATAAAGGCCATGGGGATTTCAAGAAGTGTGTGCATGGGGGAGGGGTAGCAGAGAGGTAGTTCTTGGGGATGGTAGAGTGCAGAGCTTGGCCCCCAAGACAGTATGAGGGTACCCCAGCCCAGCTGCAGCACAGCTGTTAGTGGGGGAAAGAGGAATTCTAGAGCTTCCACAGGCCTGGGGTTACGGGGACAGAGGAGGAAGAGGACAAAACTGGTTCCTGTTTCCCCAGGTCATACATAAGGAGCCATCAATGGTGCACACACAGACAGACACACAGCTATACATACACACAGAGACACACATATACACATATACACACAGAAACAGACACACAGATATACATACACACCCAGACACACAGCTATACACAGATATAGACACACAGATACACAGATATACACACAGACACAGAGACACAGATATACATACAGATATAGACACAGATATACACACATAGATATACAGACACAGAGACACAGGTATATACATACACACAGATAGACACACTGATATACACATACAGATATACAGACACATAGATATACAGATACACAGACAGAGATATACACACATATATACACAGATAGACATATATAGACATACTGATACACACATATATACACATAGACACATAGATATACACATAGACAGCTTTTTTCAGGTGTACTGGGACATGCCTTTACTCACATCTTCTGGGAGGGAGGGCTAGGTAGATCCCTATGCGTTTGGGGCTAGCTTTGTCTATACAGTGAGTTCCATGCCCGGTGGGGCTTTTTTGAGGGGTCCTTTCACGTGCGTTTAATGAAAGGATTTGGGGGGGGGGGGCAGGCAGGTCGGTATGAGTTTGGGGCTGGCGTGGTGTAGGAAGTGAGTTCCGGGGCGGGCTGGGGTACGCGGGGAGGTCTTTTTTATATGGCCTATAGGTCGTGATGCTGGTGGGTCGGTCTGCCAAACGCTAGAATATAGGTGTTTATGCCATCGGGCCCAGCAACGAGCAGTGGGAGGAGAAACCCAAGAGTCAGAGAAGTTAAGTAACCTGCCCAGGATTACACAGCTGGTGATCAGCAAGTGACCTCTGTCCAAGATCCCTTACCCTCTGTCCCCCACCAGCCAAGGCAAGGCCACCTGAGGAGCCTCATTTGTAAGACCTCCATCCCCACGCTGACCTCTGCCAACTTCCTCTCCCCTAGCCACAGAGCCATAAATGGCAAAAGGAGCTGGCTGCGTAGAGCTAAGAAAGAAAGCAGAGACCAGATCTCCCCCGCTAACGGCTGGTAACCAGGCCCGTGGCAGAGCCAGTCTCTGGATCTGGCAGCAGGGACTCGGTGGCGGCTTCGCTAGCGAGGCCTCTGAAGGCACACCAGGCCAAGGGCCAACAGTGAGACTGCTCCAAGCCAGGTCCACCCACAACCGGGTCCTCCCACAGACCTGGAGCAGTGAGGGAGCCCAGAAGAAACCGGCGGTCAGGGAAGGCGTTCAGCGAGTCCCCATCCATGCTGCTGACAGCATGCTCACTTGTCAGCGACTGTTATTTTAACTGTATGTGCGTGGGTGTCTAGCTGCATTTTGTCTGCACCGTGTGCATGCAGTGAGTGCCCTTGTGGGTTATAAGGGGGTGTTGAGTGCCCTGGGGCTGGAGTTAGAGAAGGTTATCTAGACATCACTATGTAGGTGCTGGGACTCAAACCAGGTCCTCTGAGCCACCTCTGTAGCCCCCAGGGGCCTGGTTGTTTACACTCCCTCCAAACCTCTCACCTGCAATGCACAATGATGGGCCCTGCGTGAGGCAAACGATCCTGTCGCTGGTTGATCTGGTCCAGGAAGCTGAGGACACCCCCAGGCTCACTGGGGACCCCATGGTCAGGCCAGCTCAGGTACTGGTAGTGCCATATCTCCCGAACCAGGTCCCCCTAGGCCAAGGACACAGAGTCAGTGTGCCTGCTGCTTCCACACCACATCCTTGTCCCACCTGCCCAGACGAGGGAGCCAGTCGGAGGAGAGGCTCCTGGGGTGTGCAGGGGCCAGGGACACTCACATTGTCCAGTGGGGAGATCTGTAAAGTGCGGAGTTTATATTCTGCTGTGTCGTGCTCTTCACAGTTGGTCACCGAGTAGAGGCCGTAGACTCGCTGAGTGCCCACCTCCGGCCAGTATGGGACACACTTGTTCTGAAAAGAGAGCGGGGAAGCGTAAAGCACAGAGGACGGTGCTGGCGCTTTCCGGGCCCCACAGCGAATTTACTTACTTATTTATTTTGTACGTGTGTATAGGCACAAACATGGCGGGGGGTGGGTGGGTGGAGGCATAAGAACGATGCTGGGGCCATCCCTCATCACTCTTCCGCCTTATTCATTGAGGCAGGGTGTCTCAATCAAACCCAGAGCTCACCAATATGGCAAGTCTTGCTAGCCAACTTGCTCTGGGGATCCCCTGTATCCTCCTTCCAAAGCTGGAATTGTGGGTAAAGCCCTCTGCTCACACAGAATGGACAAGAGTGTCTGAGGACCCCAACTCCAGTCCTAATGCTTTCATGGTAAATGCTTAACAACCGAGCCTTCTCCCCATCCCTGACCTGGACGGTGGTTAAAAGATGGATGAGCCCACTCAGAATCAGACCTGGGATCTGGCCTCAGGCTGATCAACCATCTAACCTTATAATCCAATCAGTGACCACTGACGCTGTACCAACCCAACTGTGGAGCTGTGGTTCAAACTCAAGGAAGAGGCAGAGGCGGTGGACACAGTTCAGCGAGAGCGCATGTGCCTAGCATGGACAAAGCCAGCAGTTCCATCCCTAGCACTAAAGACCCAGAAGACCAAGCCAGACACTATCCACATCCTAGGACACAGGGTGATGCACAGACAGGAGACACAGGCAGACAGAGCGTGTCTCAGGAGCAGGGCTAGGGCAGGGGCCAATCTCCCACAGGGCTATGGAGACAGTGCAGGGTAGCCTCACAGAGGAAGCAGGAGCCGAGCACTCCAAACCGGAGTCTGTGAGGCATGAAGGGCCAGCAGAGTCATCTCCTAGCAAACACGGAGCCAGTGCCTTCAGAAGCCTGACATAGCCAGACCAGCAGAAGCAAGGTGCAATGACAGAGAACCATGAGGACTGGAGGACTTGCAGGGACAGCCCTTCATCCTAGAAGCCACTGGGAGCCACAGAAGGGCTTTCAGAGAGAGCAGCTGGATGCCACGTGCTTCTGACAGGAAAGCTGCCCACTGCACAAAGGAGCTGAGCAAGGGGGAGCCTGCTGAGGAGGGGCTGACTGCGAGAGGCCTGGGGCAGAGAAGATGGGGGACGAGGAAGATGTAGAAAGAATGTTTGTCCTGGGACACAGTAAAGACTTCTGTGGTGCTGAGGATAGAACCCAGGGTTCCCGTACTGGGTAAATGCCCTGCCACTGGGCTATATCATCACCCCGGAGCATCTGGAGCTCAGGAGGGTTGGGTGTCCAGGAGTCACGGTGTATAGGGGAGACTTCATCTCAGGCCTCTGTCACTGACGTGTGTCTGTGTCTGTGTGAGGGTACATGCATGGGTACCTATGTGCCACAGCAAGCGTGTGGCAGGCAGAGGAAAAGTTGCAGAGGTCAGCAGAGGTCGGTTCTCTCCTTCTCCCATGTGGGGCCCAGAGATTGAACTCCTGATGTCAGGCCTGGCAGCAAGCACATTCAGCCCTCGGAGCCACCTCCCAAGCCCTTGATCTTGTGCATGGTGGTGAACAAGGGCCGAGGAGGAAAAAGTAGGGTCAAGAAGGTGGAGCTTTGCCCTACCCGGCCCTTCTCCACCTCGCGGGTGGTCATGACGATGATTCGGGTGTTCTCCTGCCAGACCATCTGCCAGAAGTCATTAACTGTGGCCTCCAGACAGCCCTGGCTGGCGATGTAGGTCTTAGCGTTCTCATCTGGACCTAGCAGCTGGTTCTAGATGCAAACACAGAGAGAGCCATCCCAGGCCTGTGAATCCCTGGGCACAGGATGTGCCCATACCACCATCACCTCTACCCAAGACACCAGCTCCAGCTTTTCCCAGCGGCGCTGTACCAATGGACCCCAGGACACAGTGTCCGTTCCCACACGGCCCACCCAACTCACCTTGACGTAGTTAGCATTGATGTAGTCAGACCCGGGAATGTTACTGTCCCGTCCCTGCAGGATGACTCGACTGTGGTCAACTGTCGTGGGTGGAGAAGAGACAGCTAGAGCCACAGCCCGGGGCAGACCCTTCCCAAGCTAACAGCTGTTCTTGTCTCCAAAGCCATAGACTCATAGAGGACAGGACGACAGGCAGGGACAAATGTGTCTGGGTGGGGCAGAGGTTTCCTGAGCAGGAGGGTGGCAGGGAGGGACTATTGCCCGGTAGCTGTGGGGAGGCTCTTGGAAAGTGAAGAGGCTTCCTGGGGGAGGAGAGCTCTGCTGGGCACTGGGGAGGCGGCCCTGAGCAAAGAATGGGGTGGGGTAGGAGTCTGTGGGGGCAGTGGGGGGCAGAGCCGCGGTGCTCACAGGGAAGAATGTTCTTGTAGCGGTTCTTGCTCTTGTTCTCCGGTCGCTGGCCTTCCAGGCGCTGGTGCAAGTTTTTTACCTCCTGCTTTTGCAGACTCTGAAATGTGAGAGAATTGAGCCCCCGCCCCAGGGCACATCCACAGGTGGAGAGGTCACAGGTCAGAGCCATGTCAGAGGCACAGAAAGAAGGCAAGGTGGCCTCACCTATCCCAGCCCCACCGTCCCCGGCACACACCTCAAACTCTTCCCAGAAGCCGGCCTTGGCTGTGTCTTCTGCCTCCTGCTTCTTGTTCAGTTCCAAGACCCGGTTCTCGATGTCCGCAGCATTTACCCGAGTGGCATAGTAAGGCTGGGGGGGGGGGGGGGGGGGAGAGGAAGTCAGTGGCTGAGAGACCTCAGAAGCCCACATCCGCAATGGCTCAGGAGACGGGAAGAGACAAGCAGGTTGGCCCCTCACCTGCCGCAGGTAGACAAAGGCACCTGAGGCCTCCTCGATCCCCGTCTTCTTGAAGTGCTCCACCAGGTCTGTGAGGCTGTCAAAGGTCTCCGAGCCACCCACGGTATAGCGTCCACCCTGAAGGACACCAAGTCGGGCCACCCCTCAGGGCCGAGTCCCCCTCCTGGCACTCACTCCCAGTCTTAAATCCAAGCCAAGAAGACCTTCCCAACAACTCGGGATGAAGTTCTGACATGAGGCCTTTCCCCCCGGGCCCAGCTGACTTACCTCACACATGACCTTGATGTGCGTGACCTTGAGAGGGGAGCCTGGGCCAGCTTTGGGCTGGTCATTGAGCACAGACAACACGAAATCGCCGGGCTGGCTGAGACTCTCTCGCACAAGGAACGTCCAGGGCTCGCCCTTGGCCTGCAGCAGGGATTCTGCTTGCCCTCCAGACATGTGACCATGGTACCACCTAGGTACATTGAAGAGACGGTGGCCAGGCCCCAGAGTGAGCCCTGACACCCACCGGCCAGGCCTGAGCTACAAGCTTTCAAATCCACCACTGCGTTTAGACCCATTACTATCTCTCAAAAATGCTGAGAGGAAAAAGCCAAGCTTGGAGCCAGAATCCCAGCTCCGCAGGAGACGTGAGAACAGTAGGGAATTTGAGGCTAGCATGATCTGCGTAGTGGCGCACACCTTTAGTCCCAGCACTGAGAGGCAGAGGCAGGCGGATCTCTGAGGCCAGCCTGGTCTACACAGTGAGTTCCAGGACAGCCAGGGCTACACAGAGAAACCCTGTCTCAACAAACAAACAAACAAACAAAAAGACCCACCCACTTGTATAAATAAATAGCTGGGTTATGATGGCTCACTTTTATTTTATTTATTTATTTATTTTTCAAGACAGGGTTTCTCTGTGTAGCCCTAGCTCACATTTATAATCCCAGCCTTCAGGAGGGTGAACTGTCTCAATTAGGCCAGCCTGCTCTACATGGCAAGTTTCAGGCTAGCTTGAGCTA